GGTGAGCAGGGTGAGCTCCCTCTGTTAGCCCCAGCTCCTGCCAACCTGTTAGTTCGAAAACATGCAAATGTGAGTAGAATCATAGTATCATAGAATCATAGAGTTGGAAGAGACCTCATGAGCCATCCAACCCTCTGCCAAGAAGTCTCTGTCATGAGACCCACTCTTTGATTTTATGATTGGAGGTCAATTGTTTTTGTTGCTACTTCATAACTGTAATTTTGCTACTGTTCTGAATCGTAATGTAAATATCCGTAATGCAGGATGTATTTTCATTCACTGGTCCAAGTTCGGCACAAATACCTGTTACGATGAAATGTGAATACTGGTAGGGTTGGGAGGGGATTGATTTGGTCCTTTGGGAGTTGTAGTTGCTGGGATTTATAGTTCACCTACAATCAAAGACCATTCTGAACTCCACCAACAATGCAATTGAACCAAACTTGTCACACAGAACTCTCCTGACCAACAGAAAATACTGGAAGGGTTTGGTGGGCATTGACCTTGTGTTTTGGAGTTGTAGTTCACCTACATCCAGAGAGCACTGCGGACTCAAACAATGATGGATCTGGACCAAACTTGGCACAATACTCAATATGGCCAAATGTGAACACTGGTGGAGTTTGGGGAAAATGGACCTTGACATTTGGGAGATGTAGTTGCTGGGATTTATAGTTCACCTACAATCAAAGAGAATTCTGAACTCCACCAACAATGGAATTGAACCAAACTTCCTACACAGAACTCCCATAACCAACAGAAAATATTGTGTTTTCCAATGGTTTTTGGTGACCCCCTCTGACACCCCCCTCATGACCTTCCCAGTGGTCCCGACTGAAGACCGATCGGAGGTTCGAATCCAGGGAGAGTGCAGATGAGCTCCATATGTCAGCTCCAGCTCCCCATGCGGGCACATGAGTGAAGCCTCCCACAAGGATGATAAAACATCAAAACATCCAGGCAACCTCCCCTGGGTAACATTCTTGCAGACAGCCAATTTTCTCACATCAGAAGTGACTTGCAGTTTCTCAAGTCGCTCCTGACACACACACACACACACACACACACACACAAAAGCAGTGGTGCAGCAATTTGTTGGAAAGCAATTTATTTATTATTTATTTATGACATTTATGACATTTATATGCTTAGCTTACTATATATATATATATATATATATATATATATATATATATATATAATTAGTATAGTATATTATATTATTAGTATAGTACAATGTCAGTATTAAATATTACTATATTATACTGTACATTAGTAATCTTACATGTCATATAAATATATAATTATAATATTATATTATTATATTGCATTACATTATCTATATATATAAAAATGCTCTGTGCATAATGAGTACCTTAAAAACAAAAGAACCAATGAACGAAATCACACCAAATTTGGCAACAAAATGTCTCACAACACAAGGAGTGACCATCACTCAAAAAATTATGATTTTGTCATTTGGGAGTTGTAGTTGCTGAAATTTATAGTTCACCTACAATCAAAGAGAATTCTGAATGCCATCAACGATGGAATTGAACCAAACTTGGCACACAGAACTCCCATGAGCAACAGAAAATACTGGAAATGTTTGTTGGGCATTGACCTTGAGTTTGGGAGTTGTAATTCACCTGCATCCAGAGAGCACTGTGGACTCAAACAATGATGGATCTGGAGCAAACTTGGCACAAGCACGCAATACGACCAAATATGAACACAGATGGAGTTTGGGGGAAATTGACCTTGACATTTGGGAGTTGTGGTTACTGGGATTTATAGTTCACCTACAATCAAAGAGCATTCTGAACCCCACCGACGATAGAATTAGGCCAAACCTCCCACACAGAACCCCCATGTGGGCCACAGCAACGCATGGCAGGGGATGGCTAGTAATATTATAAATATTATATGTATATACATTATATTATATTATATTACATTATATTATTGGAATAGCACATGAGACAAGGTGGAACTGTCCCTATTAACCTTAAATTGACCCTAAATCTAGAATAAGGCTGTCAGGCTTCAACTTGTTTATGCTTACATCCCAGAACAATGCTGGGGTTAACAGCGGGAGCTCACCTCATCCTATGGATTCGAACCTCCAGCCTTCAGGTCAGCAAGTTCAGCAGCTCAGCAGTTTAACCAGTTGCGCCACTGCAGCCCCTTTTTGTATATATTTTTGTACAAAAAGAAACCCACCTTATGTTTTATTGACCCGAAAAAATATGATCTAATCTCACAAAAAAAATATCTTATGACTGTTGACAATTATATTTTTACCAGCCGTGTTCTTTGGGAGGAGTACGTTTGTGAATATTCTGTGCCTATCCACAGCAAAGGAGCCAAGTTCCTGAGGAACTGGCTATTCCTCTTTGTGAATTGTTGCTTACCTGATCACCTGCAGACCTCTCCGCTGGCTGCCTGCCTGCCCTTCGCCACATCCTTGCTTACCCATCAGACAGGGCCAGTTTTGGGGCAAGTGGCAACCCGGCATTAAAAGGGCTGGTGTGGGAAAGCTGCCCAGCTGAACTGGGAGGCTGTCCGGTTCTCAATCTTGATTCCTGGCTGCTTTTTGGATCTGGGGAACCCAATGAGCTCAATGAACATCAGTGTACCTCCCCACCCCTGGCCTGGCACCAAGAAGATGTCACGTCCTGGATGGCACTAATTTTGCATTGGATGGGTTCACATGTAATAATGAACACTTTCATCAAATGCAAGGCAGAGGGCATGGATGAGTCAGGCCAACCAGAAACCAGCGCTCACTCTGCAAACTTCTCCAAGTATCTTGTCTAATGAACGTTTGTTTGCTGTGGACTAATCTTGCTGTGTTTCAAATACTACTGTTAGAGACCCTAAATTGGGTCTTCTTAGGTCCATGCAGTCACGGGAACACGTAAGGAAGGAGACAGTCCCAAAAGAGATCAAAAAACAAGGTTTATTTTAATTTCTTCATGAAGAAGACGGACAGCTTGGTAGCATGCGCAGATGCTATCCTTCAAGTGACTGCCGCGTCCCCTTGGCTTTTGACCACCGTTACATAACCTCAAGTAAACAAGAACATTTTTTTTGTCATGGAAAGTACTCTCTTTCCAGCCCCTCTCCCTTGACCCTTTGATGGAAAGTACCTTCTTGTACATGCAGACTCTGCACTTTACCACAACCTTTGAAGTTAACCACAACACAATATCCTGTGTAAGAAAGTACCTTCTTGTACCTCTACATGTCACATCTTGTTTCTTAAAAACATTTTCTTCCCTAATCCAGATGGTGCGAATTCTGTAACTGGACACAGCTAGGGAGAGCACTCTGTGCATGCTCTTGGGCACTCTTATCTTGTTTGCTGTGTACTAATCTTGTTGTGTATATAATAATAATAATAATAATAATAATAATAATAATAATAATAATAATAATGAGAATGGAGGGGCTCCTAATGTACCAGGAATCCCTAATCCAGATGGTGCAAAGTCTGTAACTGGACATAGCTGGGGGAGCACTCTGTGCATGCTCTTGGGCACTCTTATCTTGTTTGCTGTGTACTAATCTTGCTGTGTATCTAACAACAAAAACAACAACAATATAGAGAATGGAGAAGTTCCAAACATACCAGGAATCCGTAATCCAGATGGTGCAAAGTCTGTAACTGGACATAGCTGGGGGAGCACTCTGTGCATGCTCTTGGGCACTCTTATCTTTTTTGCTGTGTATCTAACAACAGAAACAACAACAACAATATAGAGAATGGAGAGGTTCCAAACATACCAGGAATCCCTAATCCAGATGGTGCAAAGTCTGTAGCTGCTGTGGGACATAGCTAGGGAGAGCACTCTGTGCATGCCGATGGGCACTCTTATCTTGTTTGCTGTGTACTAATCTTGAAGTCGATAAGAACTTTAGGAGGGTCTTCCCCAGGAGGAGGGACCCTGAGACCCCACCAAAGAGAGATCGCTACTTTGGTGAGCTAGGAGAAGCCTGATTTCATCCATTTTTATTTCCTTAAAAATTCAAATATGCCACCAAAATGGAGGCAACCCGCCATCTCGTGGATACGGGGCCCCCTGAGCGTTTCCATATCCGCGGTTTGGAGGAATGCAGATCCCCCCCCCCCCCGGAACGCCAGGAAGGCATTCCAGGCAGGCCTGCAGTCTCCCGCAGCCTGGAAAAGCTTAGTTTCATCATGCATTGGGATAGTTTCAGTCAAGTCAATTAAGTCAATTGTTATATGTTGCATGGAACATATATATGTTATATGTTATATGTTGCATGGAACCACTGCTGTTTCTACTGTTTTTACTGTTTGTGAACCGCTGTGAGTCGCCTTCGGGCTTGAGATACAGCGGTATATAAGCAAAGTAAGTAAGTAAATAAATAAATAATAAGAAAGAGACACAAAGTATCAAGCTAGAGAGTTAAAAGTTGCAATTTCATTAATCTTTAGGGATTTGTTACAAAGTTGGGGCTTGGCAGGGAAGTGAAAGGAGAGAGCATACGGCTGTGTAGAGTCCCTGGTTGAGCTTGCTGTTGGGGCGCATTTCATCAGTTTGCCCCAATTTTAGCATCCAGGAACTGTGGAACTCCCTGCTGCTGGTTATACCAGCTTGAAGGCAGGGGTCTGGGATGCCCTCGACGACAATCTTGTTATTAATCTAATAATAATAATAATAATAATAATAATAATAATAATAATAGGGCTGGGCTGGGTGGTGCATGCAAGAGGAATAGGGACATTGCGGGAAGGTAGTCGAAATTAGGGCACAAGGAGCTGGCTCATCCTGTGCTTTGGCTGCCGCCGCCGTGATGCGCTCCACGCCCTGCAGGGCTTCAAAAGTGCACATGCTCATCCTGTGAGACGGGCAGGGTAATAATCACCTTTGGAATGCAATGCCACATCCCTGTTCCCGAACACACACACACAGATACACAAACACCCTCCCACTGGCTTCCTCCAACAGGTTGGTCCACTGCGAGGCATTTTGATGAGGTGGCTGCGGAGTTTGGGGCTCCCAGGAAGCCGAAAGTTGGCTTGGGTGTGGGGCGCTTTCTCAGAAGGTGGATCGCGGCCTGCGTTGTCGCTGGGACGACCCAAAGCCTTTTGAGGTTGGAGTGAGACTTTCTGGGGTGGTGTTTCCCTTTTTGGTGCCGCTGGATGTTTTCGTCGTTCCCAAAAGGAGCAAGCAGGGTTTGCTGTTTGGGTGAAAGTGGGCTTCCCTGGAGCTAGAACCCTAGAACCCTTCACGCCTGCTAAACTTTCCTTTCTGTGCTTCTTCTCCAGCCCACCTTTGAGGAAAGATGGTGAGAGAAACAGAATATTATGACCTGCTGGGGGTCAAGCCCTGCGCCACCATGGAGGAGCTCAAGCGGGCATATCGGCGGCTGGCATTGAGGTACCATCCAGACAAGAACCCCAGTGAAGGGGAGCGGGTAGGTGTAAAGCAGTGGTTCTCAACCTTCCTGATGCCGCAACCCCTTAATACGGTTCCTCATGTTGTGGTGACCCCCAACCATAACATTATTTTTGTATTGTCGAAGGCTTTCATGGCTGGAATCACTCAGTTCTTGTGGGTTTTTTGGAGCTATATGGCCATGTTCTAGAGGCATTTCTCCTGAGGTTTCGCCTGCATCTATGGCAAGCATCCTCAGAGGTGAGGTCTGCTGGAACTGGGAAAAAAAGGGGTTTATATATCTGTGGAATGACCAGGGTATATATATATATACAGATATATAAACCCCTTTTTTCCCAGTTCCAGCAGACCTCACCTCTGAGGATGCTTGCCATAGATGCAGGCGAAACGTCAGGAGAAATGCCTCTAGAACATGGCCATATAGCCCCAAAAAACCCACAAAAACTGAACATTATTTTTGTTGCTATTTCATAACTGTTATGATTTGTAATGTAAATATCTGATATGCAGGATGTATTTTCATTCCCTGGACCAAATTTGGGGGAAAATACCCAATATGCTCAAATTTGAATACTGGTGGGGTTGCAGGAGAGGATTGTTTTGTCATTTGAGAGTCCTAGTTGTTGGGATTTATAGTTCACTTACAATCAAAGAGCATTCTGAATTCCACCAATGATGGAATTGAAACAAACTTGGCACACAAAACTCCCCTGACGAAGAGAAAATACTGGAAGGGTTTGATGAGCATTGACCTTGAAATTTGGAGTTGTAGTTCAGAGAGCACTGTGGACTCAAACAGATCTGGACTAAACTTGGCACAAATACTCAGTATGTCCAAATGTGAACACTGGTGGAGTTTGGGGAAAATAGACCTTGACATTTGGGAGTTGTCGTTGCTGGGATTTATAGTTCAGCTACAATCATTAAACCCCACCAATGATAGAATTGGGCCAAACTATCCCACACAGAACCCCCATGACCAACAGAAAATACAGGAGAGATCTGGGAAGAATTGACAGTGAGATGTTTTAGTACTTACAGTTGCTGGGATTTATAGTTCAGCTACAATCAAAGAGCATTCTCAACTCCACCAATGATAGAATTGAACCAAACTTGGCCCACAGAACTCCCATGACCAACAGAAAATACTGGAAGGGTTTGATGGGCATTGACCTTGAGTTTGGGAGTTGTAGTTCACCTACATCCAGAGAGCGCTTTTGACTCAAACAATGATGGATCTGGACCAAACTTGGCACAAGTACTCAATATCCCCAAATGGGAATACTGGTGGTGTTTAGGGAAAATAGACCTTGACATTTGAGACTTGTAGTTACTAAGATTTATAGTTCACCTACAATCAAAGAGCGTTCTGAACCTCACCAACGATGCAATTGAACCAAACTTGGCTCACAGAAAATATTGGAAGGGTCTGGTTGGCATTGACCTTGAGTATTGGAGTTGTAGTTCACCTACATCCAGGGAGCACTATGGACTCAAACAATGATGGATGTGGTCCAAGCTTGGCACACATACTCAATATGCCCACTGGTGTAGTTTGGGGAAAATAGGCTTAAAATTAACAGTTGTAGTTTCTGGGATTTATAGTTCAGCTACAATCAAAGAGCATTCTGAACTCCACCAACGATGGAATTGAACCAAACTTGGCACACAGAACTCCCATGACCAACAGAAAATACTGGAAAGGTCTGGTGGGCATTGACCTTGAGTTTGGGAGTTGTAGTTCACCTACATCCAGAGAGCACTATGGATTCAAACAATGATGGATCTGGGCCAAGCTTGGCACATATACTCAATATGCCTACTGGTGTAGTTTGGGGAAAATAGGCTTAACATTTAGTAGTTGTAGTTGCTGGGCTTTATAGTTCAGCTATAATCAAAGAGCATTCTGAACTCCACCAACAATGGAATTGAACCAAACTTAGTCCACATAACTCCCATGACCAACAGAAAATACTGGAAAGGTCTGGTGGGCATTGACCTTGAGTTTGGGAGTTGTAGTTCACCTACATCCAGAGAGCACTATGGACTCTAACAATGATGGATCTGGACCAAGCTCGGCACACATACTCAATATGCCCACTGGTGTAGTTTGGGGAAAATGGCACACAACACTCCCATGACCAACAGAAAATACTGGAAGGGTTTGGTGGACACTGACCTTGAGTTTTGGAGTTGGCATTTTGTAGTTGTAGTTGCTGGGATTTATAGTTCAGCTATAATCAAAGAGCATTTTGAACTTCACCAACCAATTGAACCAAACTTGGCACACAGAACTCCCATGATCAACAGAAAATACTGGAAAGGTCTGGTGGGCATTGACCTCGAATTTTGGAGTTGTAGTTCATTCTGAACCCCATCAACGATAGGATTGGGCCAAACCTCCCACACAGAACCTCCATGACCAATAGAAAATACTGTGTTTTCTGATGGTGTTTGGCGACCCCTCTGACATCTCCTCACAACCGACTCCCAGGTTGAGAAACTCTGGTGTAAAGGATGGCTTCTGACTCCAGAAGCCGGAGATGAAAGGAGAAGCTTTTATCTTTGTCCTTTCTTATTTGTGTGTCATTGTTATTCCACTGAAAGGCACTGAATGTTTCCCTATCTATGTTGTGATTCGCCCAATTTAATAACCTCCTATTTTCCCAATCCAGTTCAAACAGATCTCGCAGGCCTACGAGGTGCTGTCAGATCCCCAGAAAAGATCGGTGTATGACCGTGGCGGGGACAGAGCCATGAAGGAAGGAGGAGCCTCAGGCAGGGGTGGATTCAGGCCCCCCATGGACATCTTCAACCTGTTCTTCGGCGGAGGGTCTTCTACCCACGGACCCCGAGTGGAACGGAAAGGTATGTGGGGCAGAAGGCAGTGGATCAGTTCATATGTGGGATAAGCCTATGGGTTTTCCCTCCACTTTATCACATTTACTAAATTCTACTGAGTGCTACACTTAAAATCTGGGAAGCCACTGTTCTCATCACATTAGTTTGACTTCAAGTGTAGGATAGAGTATTCTTTGTGTATTTTAAGCGTGGGGCTCAGCATTCTTTTCAAACGTTTCAGGAGATGGTTTGGAAGTGTGTTTTTGGTAATGATCTGGATGTTTTGCCAATTCTGTAATGTGACGGCATTTGTTGCTCCCAGGTTTGAAATGAAACGTTTCCCCAATTTGTGGGAGGAGCCAAAAGTACCCTTGTTAGGGAAAGTTCTGCCATTACCTTTTGCTCACCAAGTTTTTACTTTGTTGTTGTTGTTGTTGTTGTTATTATTAGAAACACAACAAAATGAGTTCACAGCAGACAAGATTATTTCTGCTGGCTATTATTATTATTATTATTATTATTATTATTATTATTATTATTATTATTATTATGCTATGTCTCCATGCTGTGCAGTTATAGTTTCCCAAAATCCATACCCTTCTCTGGCTGCATTTACACTATGGAATGAATGCCCTTGCACCCCACTTTAAATGCTATAGCTCCATACTATGCGGTCCTGGGAGTTTTCCAAGGTCCATACCCTTCTCTGGGTGCATTTACACTGTGGAATTAATGCTCTTTTAAATACTATAGCTCCATATTATGGGTTCCTGGGAGTTATAGTTTTCCAAGGTCCATGCCCTTCTCTGGTTGCATTTACACTGTGGAATGAATGCTCTTGGACCCCTCTTCAAATACCATAGCTCCATACTATGGGGTCCTGGGAGTTACAGTTTCTCAAGGGCCATACCCTTCTCTGGGTGCATTTACTCTATGGAATGAATGCTCTTGGACCCCTCTTTAAATACCATAGGTCCATACTATGGGGTCCTGGGAGTTATAGTTTCCCAAGGTCCATACCCTTCTCTGGGTGCATTTACACTATGGAAGGAATGCTCTTGCACCCCACTTTAAATGCGATGGAGTCCTCCTGGAAGTTGTAGTTTTCCAAGGTCCATACCCTTCTCTGGGTGCCTTTACACTATGGAATGAATGCTCTTGGACCCCACTTTAAATACCATAGCTCCATACTATGGGGTCCTGTGAGTTATAGTTTCCCAAGCTCTACCCCCTTTTTTGGGGGGCAGCAGAAAGAGGGGGGGGGAGGGAGAGAGGGCGGGAAAGGGAAAGGAAGAGGGAGAGTGCGTCATAGCTTCCCCTCCTTCCCTCCCTGCTTCATTGCATCTGGAATTAAAGACATGTAACAGCTGACATTTCAAAGAGAGGAGGGTTCCCCCCCCCACAAAGAACATGGGGGAGGGATAGTGGGTGGTGCCTAGCGATTATAGTGTGATGGCAAATCTACTGAAAGAACGCTGAGTACAACTGAGTAACACGGATATATGTAACAGTGTGATGAAGCAGGGTTGTGGCAGGTTTTTTAGGCTATATGGTTCTGAGGATGCTTGCCATAGATGCAGGTGAAACATCAGGAGAGAGGGTGATTCTCCTCAAGGCTTCCTCTTCATCCTGGAATGAAGTGACGAGTGGAGTGCCGCAGGGATCCGTCCTGGGCCTGGTCCTGATCCTGATCAGGATCCTTACTAATGACTTACACAAAGGGTTAGAAGGCATGGTCATCAAGTTTGTAGATAGGACCAAATTTGGAGGGATAGCCAATACTCCAGAGGACATGAGCAGATTTCAAAACAATCTTGACAGATTAGAGAGATGATGGGCCAAAACTAACAAAATGAAGTTCAACAGGGACAAATGCAAGAGACTCCACTTAGGCAGAAAAAACGAAATGCAAAGATACAGAATGGGGGATGAGGCCTGTGAAAAAGATCTTGGAGTCTTCGTGGACAACAAGTTAAACATGAGCCAGGAATGTGATGCGGTGGCAAAAAAAGCCAATGGGATTTTGGCCTGCATCAATAGGAATCTAGTGTCTATTCTGCCTTGGTTAGACCTATTCTGCCTTGGTTAGACCACACCTGGAATATTGTGTCCAATTCTGGGCACCACAATTGAAGGGAGATGTTGACAAGCTGGAATGTGTCCAGAAGAGGGCGACTCAAATGATCAAGGGTCTGGAGAACAAGCCCTATGAGAAGCGGCATACAGAGCTGGGCATGTTAAGCCTGAAGAAGAGAAGGCTGAAAGGAGACATGATACGTGGGGTTGCCTTTGAAGACTGCTTGGAAGCTTCAAATGGTCCAACGGGCGGCGGCCAGGTTGCTAACAGGAGCGGCGCTCAGGGAGCACATAACTCCTTTGTTGCGCCAGCTCCACCGGCTGCCAATCTTCTTCTGGGCACAATTCAAAGTGCTGGCTTTAGCCTATAAAGCCCTAAACGGTTTCGGTCCAACTTATCTATCCGAATGTATCTCTCCTTACATTCGGAGAGATACATTCTTATCTCTTCTGGGGAGTCCCTGCTCTCGTTCCCGCCTTCCTCACAGATCTGTTTGGCGGGGACGAGAGACAGGGCCTTCTCAGCGGTGGCCCCTCGACTGTGGAACGCCTTGCCTAGAGAGATAAGATCGGCCCCCTCCCTCCTGTTCATTTGAAGAATGGTGGAAACCTGTCTTTTCGAACAGACCTTTCCAAATATGGCATAGATAAATTAGATTATTTATTTATTTATTTACAGCTTTTATATTCTGCCCTTCTCAGGGGACTCCGCAGGGGACTCAGGGCGGATTACAGTGTACACATATATGGCAAACACTCAATGCCAATTTTTGACATACAAACATATACAGACATACACAGAGGCTATTTAACTTTTTCTGGCCGCCAGGGGAGCTGTTGCTTTCATCGTCCATTTGTGATGCTGATGAAGCACTTCCACATTCCCCGCGTGCTTCCCCGCTGGAATGCTCTGCTGGAGTCTTCTTTATGGCCACATAAATTAGTTAAGGTGGTACCTAATTTCCCTACTTGACAGATGCAACTGTCTTTCGGGTTGCAAAGGTTACACAATTGGTTGGAAACCCACTCCAACCCGGGCTGGCTTCGAACTCATGACCTTTTGGTCAGAGTGATCTTAATGCAGCTGACACTCAGCCAGCTGCGCCACAAGCCCGACAACAACCTATTTACCCATCATTCCCACTCAAGGGGAAGCTCAACCAATCTCTTGCAACCTCCACAGCCTTGCAACATGCACACATCATGCAGACAACTGTGCCACAATCCCGATTATGGACAATTGACGACGCAACCAGACAATGATTTGAGATGGAGACGCTTTGACTATGTTTTTAAATACTGTGTATGATTTTTATGTTTTATATCGTTGTTAGTATTTTAAAGTATCTATGATTGTTTTAATTTGTATCTGCACTGGCATCGAATTGTTGCCTATTGTTAACCGCTCCAAGTAGCCCTTGGGCCGAGAGGGGCAGTATACAAATGTAGTAAATAAATAAATAGCCATGTATAAATATGCAAGGGGAAGCCACGGGGAGGAGGGAGCAAGCTTGTTTTCTGCTGCCCTGGAGACTAGGACGCAATGGAGCAATGGCTTCAAACTACAAGAAAGGAGAGTCCGTCTGAACATTATGAAGAACTTCCTGACTGTGAGAGCTGTTCAGCAGTGGAACTCTCTACCCTGGAGTGTGGTGGAAGCTCCTTCTTTGGAGGCTTTGAAACAGAGGCTGGATGGCCATCTCTCGGGAGTGCTTTGAATGCAATTTTCCTGCTTTTTGGCAGGATGGCCCATGAGGTCTCTTCCGACTCTATGATTCTATGATTCTATTATTTATCTTGGTCAGGAGTGTGGGCACGAGCCATGTCCCCTCAGGAGGTAGTCTCAGTTCTCTTGGGAGAGCTATCTGTTTATTCATTTGTCCTCCTGCTGGTTGAATCATCTTATCCTGTGGGATGGTCACAGAATGCCCCAGGTCTTTGTGGCTTTTGGATAGTCTATAGACTCTCTGCCATATCAGCCTTAGCACTTGACTGAGCAAGGAAGCAGATGTGGAGAACGAGGCAGGTTGGTTGTGGCTGCTTGCATCTGGGACTCTTGGTTTGCCTCTTAGCAAAGGCATCAAAGGGATCATCTTTCGTCTCTGCCCTCCCTCTTGCTCTTCTCAGAGTCAGGATGTGACTTCCCTAATTGTGCCAGAATTCCAAAGGCTTCCATCATGGCTGCATCCTCTCGCTCCACCTCCTGGGCAAGCTGTCAGCCAGCCAGTTGGCACACGCTTTGCCCATGCTGAGTCAGACGCCCCAGTGACAGCCTGGAAAGTGCGGGGCCTCCTCGCCTTGGGGTGTGTGGCATGGCACACTTACCTGGTCACTTGACTTACCTGGCTAGACCTCACCGGACGGATCTGTTGAGGGAAGCAGTTTGACTCGGAAGCCCAAGGCGAGCCCTGAATTCTGGAGCATCTCAACTCTGTTGCGCATACAACTGCATGATGTGTGCATATTGCAGGGCTGTGGAAGTTGCAAGAGATTGGTTGAGCTTCCCCTTGAGTGGGAATGATGGATACATGGGTTGTTGTCGGGCTATATGGCCATGTTCTAGAGGCATTCTCTCCTGACGTTTCGCCTGCATCTATGACAAGCATCCTCATGAAGTCGAACATGATGAAAAGACCCTTATCTTTGGACATTCTTTGCATGGACAATAGTAAAGGAAATCCTTTTGACTTCGCAGTTAGGATTTCTGTTTGGCAGACTTTTTAATCATATAACAATGGGGGGAATATGACCTTAGGAAAGTCTTCTTTTCCTCCAAGCCATTTTTCTTTCAAATCTTTCCACTAAGCACATTCACAAAAGTTTCCCCTTTGTGCCCTATCTGATTGTAAGAGGAAAACCCGGATTAAGCCATCAATGCTTATCACAGACCCATCTCAGGACAATAAAGTGGCTTCTCTGGAAGGCCWATCCCYGGACTCRAYAAGCCTAAGGACATTAAAACTCCATAATCCACTCCAGAATGCATTGTCTCCCTTCATCCCGCCTCCCTCCCTTCYGATTCGCTGGAGCGTYGAGGCAGCAGKAGCCTCCTGATAGGCTCTGGTGCMCCGCGRAAGCCCTGTGATTGGCCCTGATGCATGGGGGATGGCCAAGCCTCCTCCCAGCTGTTTGCGCGTCAGCCAATCCCCTTCGAGCTGGGCGGGAGGGGGGAGTGGAAATTTTGAAACTCACCACTCTGTATTTTCTATAAAAATGGCCTTTATTTCTATAACCATATGCTCTGCTTGGCGAATGATTGCTGCATTGCATCCTTTTCAGCTGAATTGCAAATAAAACATCTCGGTGGCGCTTCCTTCAACTTGGTGAGATCTTTTATTGGGAAAAATCAGGGATTGGGTGCTTCTCTCTGTCTCGCCAGGGTAACAAACTCTTTAAAGAGTCTCATTGGTCTCTGCCTCCTGGCAAAGACCCCTAAATTCCTGCTCTAAAACACTCACAGGTAGTGAGGTGACAATACAATGATGGGTAAAGCAAGGACATCGCTATCCAAGAAGGAATTCTGCTCGTTCCTCAGAGATTTTTCTTTAGTCCCCATTGCAGAGATGGAAACACTGAAGATCCTGAGAAGTCTTCTTCCATTTGTGTTGTCGAAAGCTTTCATGGCCGGAATCACTGGGTTGCTGTGAGTTTTCCAGGGTGTCTGGCATTGTTCCAGAAGCATTCTCTCCTGATATGTATTCTTGAAGGCTTTCTTGGCCGGAATCACTGGCTTGTCGTGTGTGTTTCTGGGCTGAATGGCCGTGTTCCAGAAGCACTCTCTCCTGACATTTCACCCGTACCTATGGCAGTAATCCTCAGAGGTTGTGAGGTCTGTTGTCGAAGGCTTTCATGGCCAGAATCACTGGGTTGCTGTGAGTTTTCTGGACTGTACGCCATGTTCCAGAAGCATTCTCTCCTGGCGTTTCACCCACACCTATAGCAAGCATCCTCAGAGGTTGTGAGGTCTGTTGTCAAAAGCTTTCATGGCCAGAATCACTGTGTTGCTGTAAGTTTTCTGGGCTGTATGGCCATGTTCCAGAAGCATTATCTCCTGACGTTTCACCCACACCTATAGCAGGCATCCTCAGAAGTTGTGAGGTCTGTTGTCAAAAGCTTTCATGGCCGGAATCACTGGGTTGTCGTGTGTTTTCTGGGCTGTATGGCCATGGTTCAGAAGCATTCTCTCCTGATGTTTCACCCACACCTATGGCAGGCATCCTCAGAGGTTGTGAGGTCTGTTGTCGAAGGCTTTCATGGCCGGAATCACTGGGTTGTCATGTGTTTTCTGGGCTGTATGGCCATGTTCCAGAAGCATTCTCTCCTGACGTTTCACCCACACCTATGGCAGGCATCCTCAGAGGTTGTGAGGTCTGTTGGAAACTAGGAAAATAGGGTTTACATATCTCTGGAATGTCCAGGGTGGGAGAAAGAACTCTTGTCTGTTTGAGGTAGGCGTGAATGTTTTCATTGGCCACCTTGATTACTATTTAATGGCCTGGCAGTTTCAGGTGTGATGTCTTACTGCTTGGGGGAATCCTTTGTTGAGGGGTGATTAGCTGTCCCTGATTGTTTCTTGCCTGGAGTTCCCCTGTTTTTGAGTGTTCTATATTTACTGTTAGTCCCTTTAGTCTCTCAACTCATCCTCTGTTGTGCCATTAAAATATACAAATGGGTGGTGATGTATGTATCTTTTTGTCTGTAACTGATTCAGATAGGATGGAGGCCAAGGGAGATTGTGATGGCTCATGCCAGCCCAGTTCTTGGCTCACTGCCATTAGGTGCCCCGATCCAGTGGAGAAATGACCAATCAGAGGGGATAGCTAGCTGCTAACTTGTGTGGGCCAGATAACTTCTATTGCTTCCTCCATTTGGTCTTCTTTTAGGCAGGACAGCTTTCCATCACTTGTTTGTCACCTTGGAGGAGCTGTATAAAGGCACCACTCGGAAGATCTCCATTCAGAAGAACGTCATCTGCAAAACCTGTGGCGGTGAGTGAACACAACTAGGCCCCTTCTACACTGCCATATAAAATCCAGATTATCTCTTTTGAACTGGATTATATGGCAGTGTAGACTCATATAATCCAGTTCAAAACAGATAATACAGACTATCTGCTTTTGTTGAGATTAACTTCACAATTCAGCAGCAGATCAGTTGCACAACTACGGTGCAGTAGCTTCTTCCTGCACAGTATTTTCAGTCAACTGCTCCCACAGTCTGCAGCCACGCTGGAACCTTTTACATACACTTGAGCTCATGCCCGGCCATTGTCAGTTTTACCACTATCTTTCCCCCAGTCTAGATGATATTACAAACTTACCACAGCATACAGTTATATCTTGTCTTAGCAAACAGGTTCTTTAATTACATATAGCCTTCAACGAACAACATCACAGAACAAGGAGAGATATACACTGTACATGACTTCCTTATATACAATTCTATACAATTGCACATAGCAATCTCTGATTGGTTCCCAACTCATTAACTTAACTCATTAACTCAGACCCAGGATTACATCATTCACAATCACCTGGACTAGGCCAGAACACATTCCCCAAATGATTCCCTATACACAGTTAATGCATGACTCAGCATTTCCAATTGAAGCCCATTAGCAGTGCATGACTCAGCTATGTTACATTACAATACACTGTAAAACCTGACAGCTTTGATTTTATGACAGTCTAGAAGGGGGCCTGGACACACTGGGGAAGGGGCATTATTCTGGAAAGGCTTCCCCAATTCAATTCCCCTCAATTTAATCCTTGTATTTTGGGGTGAGGTGCCTTCTGCTACTCTCAGAGGTGAAAGTTTGAAAGGAAGACTAAGAAAATTATGTCAGAGTAGCGTTAGCAGCCCGCCGAATGTCTCAGACCCTTTTTCTCTCAGTGTGAGAAAAACAAAAAAAAAATACAAATAAGTCCGTTACTTTAAGTAGAAAAAAAATAGTTCTATGCAATGTAGGTCAATAACACAAAGCAAAACAGAAGAATTGTTCCCACCAATATACAACAAACAATATCTCTGGTGAGTCTTCTTCCTTACACAATGATATGCAAACACATAGCAGAGTAATACAGTCTCTCTACTTAGCTATCAGTAGAATGTCCTTATCTTGCCATGAAAAAGCAGTTTCCTTGGCACTCCAAACTGCTTCAGTCTTCAGCTTCAGGATGCTGCGTAACCACTCCCAGCAACAGCCAAAGGTTTCTTGAGCTCAAAGGAGCCGTCAAGCTAAGCCAAATACAAAGCTCAAAGCTTGCAAACGTTGTGCCTTGTTATATGCTGAAACAGATAACACAACCAATTAACTTATGATAGCTGTAACAGAAAAGGTTCTGATCCTCCATGTTACTTAGAAAAAAGCCTCTTGTAAACCCCTAGTAGCAACAAATTATCTGTGGAGTTGGATGACCTTTGAGTCCAGCTTGGTAATGCCATGGAAGGATCTTTGGAGTTGGATGACCATTGAGTCCAGCTTGGTATGGCTATGTAAGGATCTTTGGAGTTGGATGACCATCTTTGGAGTTGGATGGCCATTGAGTCCAGCTTGGTAATGCCATGGAAGGATCTTTGGGGTTGGATGACCATCTTTGGAGTTGGATGACCACTGAGTCAAGCTTGGTGTTGCCATGTAAGGATCTTTGGAGTTGGAGGCCCATTGAGTTCAGCTTGGTATTGCTATGTAAGGATCTTTGGAGTTAGATGACCACTGAATCCAGCTTGGTATGGCTATGTAAGGATCTTTGGAGTTGGATGACCATCTTTGGAGTTGGATGGCCATTGAGTCCAGCTTGGTATGGCCATGTAAAGACCTTTGGAGTTGGAGGGCCATTGAGTCCAGCTTGGTATTGCTATGTAAGAATCTTTGGAGTTGAAGTCCAGCTTGGTGAAGTCCATGTAAGGATCTTTGGAGTTGGAGGGCCATTGCGTCCAGCTTGGTATGGCCATGTAAGGACTTTTTGCAGTTGAAGACCATTGCGTCCAGCTTGGTATGGCCATGTAAGTACTTTTTGCAGTTGAAGGCCATTGAGTCCAGCTTGGTGTTGCCATGTGAGGATCCACAACTAAAACACTCCATAATCCAGCCTCCAAAGGAGTGTCCACCATCTCCAACACCCTTACCGCTTGTATGGTAGGATCTCCTCCTGAGTTGAACTCTTGCTTCTTTTCCAGGCCGTGGAGGAAGAGAAGGACATGACCTGAGGTGCCCCAAGTGCCATGGCTCTGGCTTTGAGGTGATTCTTCACCGACTCGGCCCAAATATGATGCACCAAGTCCAGGCGGTGTGCTCACAGTGCTTTGGCCAAGGAGAATGGATGCAGCCCCTGGATCGTTGCCTCACTTGCAATGGCAGGAAGGTCATACGAGAGAAGAAGTTCCTTGACGTCTGTATAGAAAAAGGTGGGGAGCTTGGCCAGTCTTGAGATGGGAGCAGTTGGGCAACTGGTATAGAGATCCTTCTGAGAACCTCCCTTGGCTCCTGTTTTGCTCATCTCCACTTTTTGACCATTTCATTCAGACATATATATTCCCCTGTTTCCAGAATGTGGTGGCTGGTTTCAGGGGGCTTGACTTGATTTTGCCATGCAACAGATGGGGTTCTGTGAGTTGGAGACCTCAGAGTTTGCAACCTCAGAGTCCCCTGGGGTTCTTTCAACCACCTCTCATGTACCTCCAATTACTCCTTCAACCAGGTATGGCGGACAGGCAGAAGATTACCTTCCCCAAGGAGGGCGACCAGGTTCCCGGCTTACATCCTGGAGACATCGTCGTTGTTCTGGACCAGAAGCATCACCCGGTCTTCCAGCGCCAGGGCAATGACCTTGTGATCAAGCGAGAGGTGACTTTGATGGATGCCCTCTGTGGCTGCAAGCTGGTCATCCAGACCTTGGACAGCAGGCGCATCCTCCTCTTCTCACGGCCAGGTGAGCCAGGAGGGATTGGAAACCATGTGTTAGTTTGGGACATGCAAAGACGGAAGTCCTTCTCTTCTAGAGGTGCCCAGCTGGCAGGGCAAGAAGTCCTCCATCAGCATGCCAATATTTTTGATCAGCTGGGGGACTTTGTGGTCACAAGGCTCCAATGGGTTGGTGGAGGGGGTAAGGAACCCACTGCCTGCCCTAATAGTTTGGGTGCGGCCTCTACTTTGCTAACACCTTTCCTTATCTCTCTTCCATAGGTACCATCATCAAGCCAGGGGACAGGAAGTGTGTTCCCAATGAAGGGATGCCTATCCACCACTGTCCCAACCAGAAGGGGAAGCTGATCATTGAATTCCAGGTACGGAGACCATACTTAAGAATGGCACACAGACCCAGGCTGGACATCAGAGGTGGTTCAGCAGAGATGCATAATAATAATGTGATACGAAATCCAGCATATAGATCTCATTTGCTGTGACATACTGTGTTTTTGTGTCAGTAAAATAATAATAATAATAATAATAATAATTATTATTATTATTATTATTATTATTATTGGGGAATCTGAGCTGTTAGGCTAAAAAATAACCCTCATTTGGGGCAATTCCACCAAAAATATAGGAGAGTACCAGGAGTTGGAGCGCCCGGTGGCGCAGTACGTTTTAACTGCTGTACTTGCTAACCGAAAGGTCACAGGTTTGAATCCGGGAGCGGAGTGAGCTTTCGCTGTTAGCGCCAGCTTCTGCCAACCTAGCAGTTCGAAAACATGCAAATGTGAGTAGATCAATAGGTACTGCTTCAGCAGGAAGGTAACGGCGCTCCATACAGTCATGCCGGCCACATGACATTATTATTATTATTATTATTATTATTATTATTATTATTATCTTTATTTGTACCCCGCTAATATCTCCCGAAGGACTCGATGCGGCTTACAAAGGCCAAGGCCTCAATAAAGACAACAGCATAACAATACACATAACATTATAAAGCAAATCAAAACGTTAAGCAATATCAGTAAACAATAAAAACAATACACCATAACACAATAAAACTAGGGCCAGGACGAAGTGCTTCCGGACAACACCAGCTCTTCGACTTAGAAATGGAGATGAGCGCCAACACCCAGAGTCGGACATGACTGGACTTAATGTCAGGGGAAAACCTTTACCTTTACCTACTTTATTAGGTACTTTACCTTTACCTACTTTAGGATTTACCACTTTGGTGGGAAGGTAACGGCGCACCATGCAATCATGCTGGCTGCATGACCTTAGAGGTGTCTATGGACAATGCTGGCTGTTCAGCTTAGAAATGGACATGAGCACCAACGCCCGGATGGTCCAATTCCATCATTGACGTTCAGAATGCTCTTTTATCGTAGGTGAACTATAAATCCCAGCAACTGCAACTCCCAAATGACAAAATCAATCCCCTCCCAACCCCACCAGTATTCAAATTTGGGTGTATTGGGTATTTGTGCCAAATTTGGTCCAGTGAATGAAAATACATCCTGCATATCAGATATTTACATTATGATTCATAACAGTAGTAAAATTAGAGTTATGAAGTAGCAACAAAAATAATGTTATGGTTGGGGGTCACCACAACATGAAGATCTGTATTAAGGGATTGCGGGATTAGGAAGGTTGAGAACCATTGCTCTAGACCAGTGGTTCTCAACCTTTCTAACACCGGGACCCCTAAATATGGTTCCTCATGTTGTGGTGACCCCCAACCATAAAATTATTTTCATTGCTCCTTTATAACCCCCTACCAACCTCAGAGATCCCTCTGTTCTGAGGACCAAGATTTGTTGGAAATTCCCAATGTCAAGACCTTGCATCTATTTATTTATTTATTTATTTATTTTGAGCTTTTGTAACCCGGTCTTCTCGACCTCCAAAGAGGGACTCAAGCCGGCTAACAGCAGAGGGTTGAAATACAATAAGATAAACCACAGTAAATATCATAATACAATAGTACAAAAATACATTAAAATACAATTATACAACTTACAAAAGGTCAGTTCGTCAGAATAAATCATAATTCATCGCCATCCGCCCATGTGGCCAGCAGCTATTGACTCAGTCATCATTCTGCAAATGCAGTATTCCAGAGCCATGTTTTTACCAGCTTTCTAAAAGTCAGGAGGGAAGGGGCATATCTAATCTCCATCGGAAGGGAGTTCCAGAGCCGAGGGGCCACCACCGAGAAGGCCCTGTCCCTCGTTCTCACCACCTGCGATTGCGAAGAAGGTGGGACCGAGAGCAGGGCCCCTCCAGAAGATCTTAATAACCTTGATGGTTCATAGGGGAGAATCCGTTCGGACAGGTAAATTGGGCTGGAGTCGTCTAACAGCAACCGGACGCAGAGCCTTTACAGCAGTGGCACCATCACTGCACCAATTTAAGGTGCAGGTGCTTACCTACAAAGCCCTAAACGGTTTGGGACCATCCTACCTGCGTGACCGCATCTCTGTTTATGAACCGTTTATGAACCACGCTCACACTTCGTTCATCCGGAAAGGCCCTGCTCGTGATTCCGCCTGCGTCGCAGGCACATTTGGTGGGGACGCGAGACAGGGCCTTTTCTGTGGTGGCCCCCCGACTCTGGAACACCCTCTCCAAAGATCTTAGACAGGCCCCTACCCTGGCAGTCTTCAGAAAGACTGTTCCGATGCTCCGATGTGCCTTTCCAGAATAGGAATACTCCAATAACAAGTCCCAGAAGCACTTTATTAGAATTAAGATTGCTGCACACCGCACACTGCACTTACCCTATAATCCTTACATACCACCTGTCACGTCAGCACTTTTAATTCTGTACCCATTACACTGGCCCGGCCCAGTTTTATTGTGTTTTGGTGTATTGTTTATTGCTTGTTGTTTAATATTGCTTTAATTGTTTTTAATTTGCTTTAGGTTTTGTATTGTTATGTTGTGTTTTGAGGCCTTGGCCTTTGTAAGCAGGGGTACAAATAAAGTTAATAATAATAATAATAATAATAATAATAATAATAATAATAATAATAAATAATAATCACTCTGGAATACTCTGCCACCTGAAGTCCGTGCCTTGCGGGACTTATCAGCTTTCCGCAGGGCATGTAAGACATATCTGTTTCGACAGGCCTTTGACTTTTAATATTGCTGTTTTTAAATTGTTTTAAATTGTTTTTAAATTGTGTTCGATTTTAGCCTGTTCTTGTAAGCTGCTCCGAGCCCCAGGGGAGTGGCGGCATATAAATTTGAATAATAAATAAATAAATAAATAAATAAATAAATAAATGTAATTTTGCTACATTTACAAATCGTAATGTAAATATCTGATATGAAGGATGTGTTTTAATTGTTACAAAATCACGGAGGACCCCTCGCCTGCCTTGCGCCGTTACCAGATGGCGAGAGAGTGAGGCAGGCGAGGCGGGCTTTGAATGAGGCCAGACCTCACGTGAAGAAGCCCTCGCCTGGCCCACGCCCTTGGGGCGGGGCCAACGGAGGCGGCCTCGCGACACCTCCGAAATGGCCAGGTGACCCCCCTTGGGGTCGTGACCCCCAGGTTGAGAACTGCTGCTCTAGACCAGTGGTTCTCAACCCTCCTAATTCTGCGACCCCTTAGTACAGGTCTCATGTGTGGTGACCCCCAACCATAACATTATTTTCGTTGCTACTTCATAACTGCAATTTTGCTACTGTTATGAATTGTAATGTAAATATCTGATATGCAGGATGTATTTTCAGTCACTGGACCAAATTTGGCACAAATACCCGATACGCCCAAATTTGAATACTGGTGGGGTTGGGGGTGATTGATTTTGTCATTTGGTAATGCTGGAGTTGCTGGGATTTATAGTTCACTTTAAATCAAAGAGCTTTCTGAACTCCATCAATGATGGAATTGAATCAAATATGGCACACAGATTTCCCATGACCAAGAGAAAATACTGGGAAGGTCTGGTGGACATTGACCTTGAGTTTTTGGAGTTGTAGTTCACCTACATCAGAGAACACTGTGGACTCAAGCAATGATGGATCTGGATCAAACTTGGCACAAATACTCAATATGCCCAAATGTGAACACTGGTAGAGTTTGGAGAAAATAGACCTTGCCATTTGGGAGTTGTAGTTGTTGGGATTTATAGTTTACCCACAATGAAATAGCATTCTGAACCCCACCAACGATAGAATTGGACCAAATTTTCCACGCAGAACCCCCATGACCAACAGAAAATACAGGGTTAGTCAAAATGAATAGGCCAATAAGAAAATTAATTTTAGACGAATGTATGTTTACTGTAACCAAACCACAGCTACGTAGCGACAGATAAACTATCAAAGTTTTTTTTGAGCAACACACATGTACGTTAATGCCGCTAGGCGTCGCTAGGGGTCGCTGTTTTCAAAATGGCGGAATCAAGCAAAGAGAAGGCGTTTTGTGTGATGACATTTGCTAAAACAATGTCAGTAATTACGGTCCAGCGAGAAGTTCAGGGTTAGGGTTAGGGTTAGGGTTAGGGTTAGGGTTAGGGATAGGGTTAGGGATAGGGTTAGGGTTAGGGTTAGGGTTAGGGTTAGGGTTAGGGTTAGGGTTAGGGTTAGGGTTAGGGTTAGGGTTAGGGTTAGGGTTAGGGTTAGGGTTAGGGTTAGGGTTAGGGTGAGGGTTAGGGATAGGGTTAGGGTTAGGGTTAGGGTTAGGGTTAGGGTTAGGACCTCAACGAACACCTTCCCAGACGTTGCTGCATTCGATGCCATTACGTCGGATGTGCTGCAACGGATGTGGAATGAACTGGACTATCGCTTGGACATCTGCCGTGTCACACGGGGCGCCCATATCGAACATCTCTGAAGGTGAGACAAAACTTTGATAGTTTATCTGTCGCTACGTAGCTGTAGTTTGGTTACAGTAAACATACATTCGTCTAAAATTAATTTTCTTATTGGCCTATTCATTTTGACTAACCCTGTACGTTGCTCCTGACATGGCCAAAAATTCATTTCACCTGCATGTTCATTCCCTCGCGACCCCCAAAGGGGTCCCGACCCCCAGGTTGAGAAACACTGCTCTAGACTTTCCCCCCATTGACATATGTCTCTCCCCATTCGTCTCCCACTAGGTGAGGTTCCCAGAGCCTGGCTGGCTGCCGCCCCACCAACTGCGCCACTTGCAGACCTTCTTTCCGCCCCGCGAGGAGGTCGTAGCCACAGAAGACATGGAGGAGGCCGAGCTGCGCGAGTGTTTCTCCCAATCAGAGTTCGGCCACAGGCGCTTCCCGAGCGAGACCTACCATGAGGATCAAAGCGAGGACCCCTTGCGCCACAACGTCCAGTGCCAGACGTCGTAGCGCCATGGACAGAACCACCCTGCGGTGGCCTTCTGGGGTTGGGGGGAGTGGGGAGGGAACAACTGTTGCGGGGAGCAGAAAGAGAGACCCTGGATCTAATAGGGTTGCCCTTCATTCCTCAGCCAGAGAGTGTTTGGGGACTCCATCCCATCTGCCGTCCATGATTTAGACCCTTTTCTCAAAGTCCGACTGCTCTCAGAATGTGCTCCCAAAGGCACAATGGGGTAACTTGACGGGCTTCCCTGGAAAGGACTTGTCTTATTGGCAGAAGGCAATCCTTTGCATGCAAAGATTAGGAAAGTGGAAGGAGGAGTGAAAGAAGGGGCGTTTGGGATGTGGTCCTCTAAGATTTGGGGGGCATAGTGCAGCCCCAAGCCACTGCTGCCTCATCTCCAGACTTTTCTGTAGCTTCCACCTTTGGGGACATTTCCCCAATCCTTTTGGAAGAGCCATAGGGTCTTGGAAGACACCTCACTCTACTTTCCCAGAGGGACTTGCAGGATCTGTGCTGACCCTCTTAGTCCTGATGCATTGTGTTCCAAGTCATACCTGCATCTGGATTGCTGTGAGTTTCCCGGGCTGTCTGGCCATGTTCCAGAAGCATTCTCTCCTGACGTTTCACCTACATCTCTGGCAGGCATCCTCAGAGGTTGTGAGGTCTGTTGGAAACTAGGCAAGTGGGGTTTATACGAGGTTTGAATGAAAAGTAATGCCTCCACCTTTGTAACTCCTCAACAGATGGCAGTATTGGTATGCGGCAGGTACTGGCTTGTTCAGTAGACTCTCCTCTACAGTTTCACTTTGGCAGGAAGCCTTAGTATTGAATGTTTGTGTTGTTAAAGTGCGAAGTATGGAACCCTACACAGACGGTTGGTCAATGTGACATAAGCAACGTGCAGTCATTGAATTCTTGACAGCAGGTGTCACCTCAAAGGAGATTCATCAGAGAATGCAAGTTGTTTATGGTGATTGTGTTGATGTGAGTACTGTGCACCATGTCAGGATTATTTAGTTATGCATGTGTGTTTTTCAATGTGTTTCTATGTGCTTCAAGATGTATTTCAAGATGGATTCTATTCTGCTCTATTGTGTATAAGAAAACACAGTGCTGAGGCTGTGAAACTGTAACCTTGACAGAAATGAGATAACGTGTTCTCTGGCTGGGAAGAAGAGGGAGGATCTGGTCTCAGCCAGAAGTCAGATAAGCAGATGTTCAGAGACTGTTGTTTGTGCCTAGTGGTTCCTGTCTGTTGCTTGCTGTGAATAGACGTGTATAGATGTACTTAGTAAACTTAGTTTTCTGTTGTAACTGAAAGCTTGCAGAGTCCTGATTTCTGGAACACAGTGTCTGCTGATCTAGCAATCCTTCCGCTGACAAAGCTTCAATACTCTGATACACCATTGGACGAGTAAATTTAAAGATGTTGAGGTGGGAATATCTGGCTTGTGTGACAAACAAAGAGTTGGACGTCCTGTGACAGCAACCACCGAGTTTCACAAGCAAAAGGTTGACAGATTGATTCAGAACGATCGTCGTTAACTCAAAGAAAAATTTCAAAATGGAGCTGTTGAGGAAAGTCTACTGAACAAGCCAGTACCTGCCGCATACCAGTACTGCCATCTATTGAGGAGTTACAAAGGTGAAGGCATTACTTTTTATTCAACCCTCGTAGTTTTGGAAACCGTTGTGAGCTCCAAGAGGGTCTTCGTACCTGGCCCTTAACCCGTCCTAAGGGAAGCAATGGGTCCATTTCACTCTCTTATCTGCTGCCTAAATTAGGCCTTGTTTTACCATGGGGGGGGGGGGGGGGGGGGGGTAATGTTTCTTTTTATGGAAAGATAGGGGTTGGATGCAGGGTTCCATGTCGTTAATTTATTTTCTGCGCCATTTCCCATGCTTGTATCTGGAATTAAAGGCAGGGACTGCCCCGTCTGCCCACATCTTTATTTGAGTAATAGCTTGTGTGCCCGGCTTTGCCCGGGTTAATTGAAAAGTCCACTTTTTAACTGTCCAAAATGCATAAGGTTGTGGGTGAACTACAACTCCCATCATGCCAGGCTAACCCCAAAAAACTCCAGCAGTACTTAAAGTTCATTTTGTGCAAATTTGCTCTAGATGCATCCTCGGTAGAGTTCGCCTTGCTCTCTGGCTGCAGGGTAAACTACAACTCCCACTATGCTGAGTCAGTCCCCTCAAACCTCTCCTGTAGATTGAGTTAGTCATGGGGGTGTCTGTATGTGCCAAGTTTGGTCCAGGTCCATCGTGAGTGGAGGAGGTCAGTTTCTCTGGTCGTTGGTGTACAACTCCGAGAAAGGAAGGTCAGTTCCCCCTAAAACCCTCCAGTAATCAAATTTCAACATATCAGGTATGTGTACCAAGGATGGGGTGAGCTCCCGCTGTTAGCCCCAGCTCCTGCCAACCCAGCAGTTTGAAAACATGCAAATGTGAACCACAGCTCCTATAAAGAGAAAAAAATAGAAGTGCAAAGAAGCCAGAATTGATGTCCAAAGAACTTCTAACTGTGCTAAAACACAAAAGAGAAATGCACAAGAAGTGGAAAAAGGGAGAAATCACCTAAGAAGAATTCAAACAAATAGCCAACACCTGTAGGGAAAAGGTCCGCAAGGCTAAAGAACAAAATGAGCTCAGGCTTGCCAGGGACATTAAAAACAATAAAAAGGCCATCTTTTCTTATGTCAGTAGAAAAAGGAAAAACAAGGAGGCAATAGGGCCTCTTCGAGGAGAAGATGGGGCAA